AATTCGTTTTTCAAGGAAATTATACTTTGGCCCCCAAAGTTTAGAAAATTAGGATTTGACCCCAAAATTTTAGAAATATTTTTTCTAAACAGTCCAGAATACTTCCATACCATATTACCTCATATTATAAAGGATATTTATATGTACAAGATATATTAAGTATATATCAATGGGTGAGAGATNATTATAAAGGATATTTATATGTAAAAGATATATTAAGTATATATCAATGGGTGAGAGGTATAAAAATTAAATAAAGAATTGCGAAACGACAAAGTTAGGAATAAGGATTGATTGTGATATGCTATTTTGCATTAGGTGGTGATTGCATTAAGGTTGAGAAATAGTTCTTTGAATTGGATTTTGGAAATAAAGATGAGTAGTTTACTACTTCTTTTGGGAGGATTTTCTATATTAAACTTGTGGTTGCGTGTGGGTGAATTTTTCATATATATGATATATGCTGATGTTTGGGGTTACAATTAAATATTTTACAATTGTGAATTGTTATACATGTGAATTTGAAAACTTATGGGATGATTTTATATCATTGCTTAAATGTGTTTTGGTGATGAAAGGAAAATTTTGTGTGCGTTGGAACTAAAACAACAGTTTTAGTGTGTGTTGAAATCATGTTTTATGAGAAAGAGACTGACTTACTAGGTCTAAATAGTAACGAGATTGTTTACCGGCGTGGTCGGTATAAGGATATGCATATAAGGACCAGCCATCAGGTTAGTGGTAACAAGAGATGAGATCAGTCATCAGGCTAGTGGTAACAAGAGACGAGACCAGTCATCAGGCTAGTGATAACAAGAGACGAGACCAGTTATCAGATTAGTGGTTACAAATATGATTTGACAAATATATTTGAGACTGAGTGTGTGTGAATATTTTGAGTTATAAATGTCTTTTCATTTATAAAGTTATTTGTGATATTGAGATTATTTTGTTTACATGATTATGTGGGAGAGATTAGGGTACAATTTGTTGTACTTATGCATGTATTAAAATTTATTTTTGTATATAAACTATGGGATTTATTTTCACACCTCATTAGAGTGATTGCTATTCACAGGCCTTTGCGCTCACCCAAAAATNGTATATAAACTATGGGATTTATTTTCACACCTCATTAGAGTGATTGCTATTCACAGACCTTTGCGCTCACCCAAACGTNCTTATGCATGTATTAAAATTTATTTTTGTATATAAACTATGGGATTTATTTTCACACCTCATTAGAGTGATTGCTATTCACAGGCCTTTGCGCTCACCCAAAAATTTAATATTTTTCAGATGAGGATCAGAGAGAGAAGTAATTCTCCGGGTAGACAAAGGATTAGAAAAATTGAAGATTTATTTTATTGTAGATCTTCAGGAATAAATATCTTTTACGGTGTTGAGCCAAATATTTAATTGTTTTGGGAAAAATGTTGCTCATGTTTAAACTTTAGAGTAGTGAGCCTTATAGTTTAGTTATTGTTTTAGATGAGTTTAATAATGATGTTGGTGATGTTTAGTTTATTCCTTTGGTGTTCATTAGGTCGATGAATTGAATCATTTTATTATTTGTCTTCCGCCATATTTTACATTTATTATACACAGGATTAGTTAGTTAAGGCCTTGGTGGCCGGTCCGCCGCCCACTCTTTGTGATCCAAGNTCATTTTATTATTTGTCTTCCGCCATATTTTACATTTATTATACACAGGATTAGTTGGTTAAGGCCTTGGTGGCCGGTCCGCCGCCCACTCTTTGTGATCCAGGGTAGGGGTATGACATAAAGTATGTTGAGAGATACCCCTCTTATATGGAGACGACTTACAATTTATAGGCACAGAGCCTTGGTTGAAACGGTGACGTGATGGGTAGATATAAGTAGAATAGGTATAATTAGAGATAGTCTTCATTTAGGAGAGTGGTTGTCTGGATGATTACTCTTCACGTGCGCTAATATTTTTAGACCCCTTGAACTTTGAACTGAACTGAGATCATGAGCTGGACTTGATCTGCTTTGTAACTAATTTGGATTCATTTAATTAATTGAACCTAATCCAATTGAATCTAAACTCATCACACACAATTTTTTTCAAATTGAATTAAGATCGGTGCCAAAGTTTATTCAGCCTCCAACTTGTGTNACTAATTTGGATTCATTTAATTAATTGAACCTAATCCAATTGAATCTAAACTCATCGCACACAATTTTTTTCAAATTGAATTAAGATCGGTGCCAAAGTTTATTCAGCCTCCAACTTGTCTNTACAATTGTGAATTGTTATACATGTGAATTTGAAAACTTATGGGATGATTTTATATCATTGCTTAAATGTGTTTTGGTGATGAAAGGAAAATTTTGTGTGCGTTGGAACTAAAACAACAGTTTTAGTGTGTGTTGAAATCATGTTTTATGAGAAAGAGACTGACTTACTAGGTCTAAATAGTAACGAGATTGTTTACCGGCGTGGTCGGTATAAGGATATGCATATAAGGACCAGCCATCAGGTTAGTGGTAACAAGAGATGAGATCAGTCATCAGGCTAGTGGTAACAAGAGACGAGACCAGTCATCAGGCTAGTGATAACAAGAGACGAGACCAGTTATCAGACTAGTGGTTACAAATATGATTTGACAAATATATTTGAGACTGAGTGTGTGTGAATATTTTGAGTTATAAATGTCTTTTCATTTATAAAGTTATTTGTGATATTGAGATTATTTTGTTTACATGATTATGTGGGAGAGATTAGGGTACAATTTGTTGTACTTATGCATGTATTAAAATTTATTTTTGTATATAAACTATGGGATTTATTTTCACACCTCATTAGAGTGATTGCTATTCACAGGCCTTTGCGCTCACCCAAAAATTTAATATTTTTCAGATGAGGATCAGAGAGAGAAGTAATTCTCCGGGTAGACAAAGGATTAGAAAAATTGAAGATTTATTTTATTGTAGATCTTCAGGAATAAATATCTTTTACGGTGTTGAGCCAAATATTTAATTGTTTTGGGAAAAATGTTGCTCATGTTTAAACTTTAGAGTAGTGAGCCTTATAGTTTAGTTATTGTTTTAGATGAGTTTAATAATGATGTTGGTGATGTTTAGTTTATTCCTTTGGTGTTCATTAGGTCGATGAATTGAATCATTTTATTATTTGTCTTCCGCCATATTTTACATTTATTATACACAGGATTAGTTGGTTAAGGCCTTGGTGGCCGGTCCGCCGCCCACTCTTTGTGATCCAGGGTAGGGGTATGACATAAAGTATGTTGAGAGATACCCCTCTTATATGGAGACGACTTACAATTTATAGGCACAGAGCCTTGGTTGAAACGGTGACGTGATGGGTAGATATAAGTAGAATAGGTATAATTAGAGATAGTCTTCATTTAGGAGAGTGGTTGTCTGGATGATTACTCTTCACGTGCGCTAATATTTTTAGACCCCTTGAACTTTGAACTGAACTGAGATCATGAGCTGGACTTGATCTGCTTTGTAACTAATTTGGATTCATTTAATTAATTGAACCTAATCCAATTGAATCTAAACTCATCGCACACAATTTTTTTCAAATTGAATTAAGATCGGTGCCAAAGTTTATTCAGCCTCCAACTTGTGTACGAGTCCTTGAAAAGCTAGTTATTTGATCGGTACTAGTATGAATTGAATACAATCGCTCATTCAACACACTATATATAAGAACTAAAAGGTTAGGGGATATTGGAGCACCCTAACAACCAAATTAAGACTGCTGCCCAGAGCCACTAGTTAATGGGTTTAATCAGGTCACTTCTTAATACGTGAAATAAGGAAGAGGCGTGACAGAGGCCATGCGGGAGACACGGGATTTTACGCCGTCAATGGCGGGGCCACATGCCTTTGCTTTGCTTTGCCTTGCCAAGCACATCAACCTAGCTATAAAGAAGTCCCCTCCATGACCATGAGATGATGAGCTTCGGCCTTCAGGATAAAGCTAGTAGGGGGCATATACACCCTTCATTCGCCTTTTTTCATACGCACTTCTTTAGTTTCCAACGTTTGTTTATGTGTATCTGAGTCAAATATAATTGACCGGTCCGAAATTTTTTGTATCATAGTCAAATAACAAATATAAAATTTTAACTTTTCTATTTCTGTATATATCATCTATTTTTCATTAAAGTGAACAAAATAAATTTGAACACTTCTTCATTTAGAAGAAATATTGATAGTTTGATGTATATTAGTACTCTCGCCTTAACATAAAAATGTTGTACATAGATCATTTCTATTTCTCTTGAAATTATGTCGTATGTAGAAATACCAATTTCAACCAACCATGTATACATTAATGGAAATACAGTCCTATTATTGAAGAATAAAATCCTGCTAAATTATTCATATACAAGTGGAGTAATAGATACACATGAACATGATATAACACTAGCGCAAACTTCAATCACATCCCGTAGAAATCACCATAAGTCGTGTACAAGTATCTGAACATATGCAACAACATTGATTCCAAGCTATCCTAGCTCTTGCATGCCTTTGATGACTCTTTTGTTTTTCCCTTTTCTTTTTTACCTTTTTCTTTTTACCAGATGCTCTCTACAATTGTATCATTTTAAGAACTTCTTCATTATCTCATCTATTTTACCATTTTTCGCTCCATCTAAAACGTCCTCAACCTTCATTTCTATTGGCCTTGGCTGTTCTCACATTAAATCCTTCATGGAGTACTAGATAAACTAATAAATAATCTATTGAGACTCTCTAATTATTCTCCTTGTCAATAAGTAAACACCTGTAGGTGAGCTCACCATTGACATTTTATACCACTAAGGAGTTGTTAGGTGAACAAACCTTTCAATTAAGCCTTTTCAGCTCAACTTCCAGTGAACTACCTTTACACTTTTTCTTTCCTCTTCAGATATTTAAGCCATACCATGCAATAATTTTCCATTGCGTAACACTTGAACATCGCAACATTTGGATTAATTCCTGACGCAAAAATGGCTAGCAACAAGGCACGCGAAGATGAACGTGCAGGAGCAGAAATTATGTATGGAGATGAAGCGTGTTATCGTCAATCCGTAGAGCTCCTTGAAGAGCTTGGATTCCCCAGAGGTGTCCTCCCTCTCAAGAACCTTGAAGAGTGTGGACGAATTCGCGAAACTGGTTTTGTGTGGATGAAACAAAAGGCTCCATATGAGCACTTCTTTGATGGGACTAATACCCTGGTGAGTTATGCCACTGAGGTAACTGCCTACGTAGAGAAGTTCAAAATGAAAAAGATGACTGGAATTAAGAGCAAGCAGATCCTTTTATGGGTACCCATTGTTGAGATGAGCATGGAAGGCCCTGCTAGCAAGAAAATTCATTTCAAAACTCCAGTGGGCATTGGAAGATCTTTTCCAATCACTGCGTTCATGACTGAAGAGGAAAAACACAAGTATCTGGAGAAAGGCAATAAATGAGGGGGATTGTCTGTTTGTTGAATGTTCGTTCTCTTTTGTTTTGTTTATTGGATCTCTTGCTTTTNATTGTCTGTTTGTTGAATGTTCGTTCTCTTTTGTTTTGTTTATTGGATCTCTTGCTATTGCATTGGAAGGGATGATCTCATTCGTCCTCTTCTACGAATATATATATATATATATTTATTTTGTCACAATGCCTTAGCCTATTCAGAAATTGTTGTCGTCTGAACATGGCTAATGTTACTTCTTAATGTTCAATTTATCAAAGAAGTCTTCTCGTGAATTAGTAACTTTTATTTTTGTACAACAGCAGGACCAGGGTGTAGAAGCTCAAACCATACCAATCGTGCAAGGGCAATAATATAAAAGACAGTATTCCATCCAAACCAAAAACCTGCTATTAGAGATGTAGTTATAAACTCCATTTGTCCAATAGTTACTAATAATCAACACATTAATTAACTGTCACATTAGATTATGTTGAGACTACTAGGCCTTCATGATGATTTATGCTTGATTGTTGATATCATGTGTGAAAAATAATGTAAAGTCATTATTATATTCAATATTTTCTCCAGGAATGGGAGTGGTTTACACATCCTAGCATTATCCTTTCCTTTGCACATTTCTCCCCATGTAATTAGGCTTATGGTTGGACCAGCTGGACAGAGAGTTAATTGCTGGACCAGGAAGCGTTTGGCTGGATGGGCAGGAAAAGAAAATTGTACCACTGATTGGGAGATTTACATTTAGAATTAGTGTCTTTTGCGTTGCTCTGTTTTTCTGCCGGTACTGGTTCTTCGAATGGTTATGTGGTTTATTAAACTTGTTAAGGGTGTTAAAATATGATACGATCTATAAATAAAGTTATGTTGGACTTATATTGTGTTTCGAAACATTTAATTGGTTGGACCTACACTCTTTTATTATTTCTAAGTCCATTAGTTTAGTTTTTGTCTTTGAAAGTCCATGGTCCACTTCCATTGTTTTTTTCACCGTTGGAGTAGCTTACAAAGTAAGCTTCACTTTTTTCTCCTTTTTGGGTCTGGCTTTTCTCCTGGCAGTATACATCGGCTCCCTCTTGTGTTCTCTCCTAACTTTTGCTTCTCATCTCTTTCATTGCTTCAAAATATCACATTCTCTTTAGAAAATTTTTTTGTGCTTTCACNCTTTTTGGGTCTGGCTTTTCTCCTGGCAGTATACATCGGCTCCCTCTTGTGTTCTCATCTCTTTCATTGCTTCAAAATATCACATTCTCTTTAGAAAATTTTTTTGTGCTTTCCCAAAGAACTATCAAAAGGCTTGTTAAACACGTTTTACAACAAGTGTGTGTTGGTGAAGGTGAAACTATAGAAATCTTGAGAGGTTGTTGTGCCAAGAACCTATCACACCGAGTCATTGACTTTGAGGGGTGTGAATCAACCTTTAAAGGCAAAGCTTCGACTTGATCTATAGTTTGGTGAGATCGTTCCTTTATTTATATATCATAAATTGTGATTTTAGGGCAAATCATTTTTGGGTCTAATTTCTTGGGTTTTTGTTTCAAGAAATTAATTGTGCAAAAGTTGTTTTTTCCATTATATTTCATTGATTTATTAAATAAATTACACAACAGGTTACTCCGTGATAGAGATGCTGCAGGCTTTACAAAAGTATATGGTGGAGAACAGTAGCTCTTGTTCTCTATAAGACATATTCTGGTTCATGTTGGAGGTTTATTAGCGGCAGATTTAATTAACTTAATGAAGAATATTCTGTAATTTTGGTAGTGGGGGTTATTTTAATACTTCTGCTTACTCTAGAATGAAGGTTACTTAGCGGTGCAGTGATGTCCTTAGGCATGAATGAGTTTGCTCACCTGCTAGTCTGCAAATATGCTACTTCACTGTGAAGCACTGGAGGAGTTCCTTGAAATTCTTTTGGTACCGTTTGGTAACTTCTTAAAAAAAATGTCTTGCTTTTTCGAAGTGGCATTTGTTTCGCATAATCACATATGTAATAGGATTTATACAAATGCATATAAGTTGACATTCAAATACAATGATGCTTGTAGATCACTTATATAAAATGGTAATCAACATGTTTCAAAAAGAAGGTTACTTAAAAGCAATTCCAAAATGTTATATTAGCATTAAGCAATGACCTTTCTTGCTAGCCTTCCGTTATGGATTTAACTCTGAATTGAAGGGCCATTTTGCAGCTTTTGTGTTTGGTGTGATTCTGTGCATGTTCTCTTTCTTCAGTCTATTTGATAGAAGATGCAGTACATCCAGATTTTAGCCATTCTGATTATGCAGCTATCAAAGGAAGTTTATGAAACTAGTCTGTGGAGGCAAAATTCTTTAAAGCTAATCGGAGTGAGAAACTAAAGGGTAAGACACTCTCTCCCTTGACTTGCAGCTGTGCTAGACATGTGAATTCTTCTAGTCGAACATAGTGTGGTAGTTATAGTACATGCTTTTTTCAAAAGGGCCAGTGGGATACAAATTGCATTCATGCTTAGTTGATGTTTAGGAAACCATCTGCCACATCTGCCATGTTAAGAATGCAATTGTCATCCTCAAAGTACTCCACAAGCGTGTCAACCTCATTGCACGAGGGCATTCCAATTTTGTCATGAGTTTCCAGTGGTGGATTGGGCTTCTTTTTTGCTCCTAACACTTTGTTCTGGCTCTCATATTCTTGATCTCTACTCTCTCGAGACCTTCCCATCAAATTTGTTAGTTTCTCCAACTGTGAACACACAATTATTTGTAAGCCTCCAAACATGAACATGCCTATATTCTTATACATGTTCATGGACAATCAGAATTCAGAAAGGTACCTGATTGAGTAACGATTGGTTCTCTTTCTTCAAGGAGTCGAACTTGGAAGCCAGAGTATCGTAACTGATTTTCAATATGTTGTAGTCTCTCTCAATCTGCTTTGACTTTGATCTAGCTCTTCTATTTTGGAACCATATAGCAACCTGGCGAGGCTGAAGGCCAATCATGCTAGCCAACTGCTTTTTTGTCCACTGTTCAGGCCTTGACTCTGAATCGAACATGGACTCGAGCAACCTGATTTGATCATCGNTTTGATCTAGCTCTTCTATTTTGGAACCATATAGCAACCTGGCGAGGCTGAAGGCCTATCATGCTAGCCAACTGCTTTTTTGTCCACTGTTCAGGCCTTGACTCTGAATTGAACATGGACTCGAGCAACCTGATTTGATCATGGCTGAATCTTCTCTTGTTGTTCTTCTTCTTCTCCCTAAGACTCGCTGTAGGGATTGATTCTACTTCCATGAACAATAGAGAAACATCTGTTGCTGTTGTTGGAGAGGTGTGTCCTGTTGCTAACATTCTCTTTTACATGTGTTGTGGTGAGCTGAGATTGATTTGTAGATGGGATTGACTGATTGAGCTGGCAGAGCAGAGTGTCTCAATAATCTTATATATTTGATCTGATCATGCTTAGGCGGGCCTTCATATCTTGCTACTCCATTGTTACACCTGTTGGTGACAACTTCTCGGCTCTTGCTCTTGACATGGAGTCATTAGAAAATCGCACAACTGGGATAAAGGNTATATATTTGATCTGATCATGCTTAGGCGGGCCTTCATATCTTGCTACTCCATTGTTACACCTGTTGGTGACAACTTCTCGGCTCTTGCTCTTGACATGGAGTCATTAGCGTCAGGACAAAGTCACGCTATGCTGTCCGCTGGGATCCAATCAGCTTGAGCCTGCTGTTTGGGTCAGCAAGAAAACCTAGTTATGTGTCTTTTCCTTTGGGGATTTTTTGGTTTCTTTCCTCGTAACGTGGCATCAAAATAGCGGTTTATCAAAAAAGCAAGCAAAGTGACGTAGAAATGTAATTGGCTCCATGTTGATTCCTGTCTCGATGATGATGACTGCAGCATCTGACTTGGAAAAGTTAGATGTGAAGATAATCTTTGAAAGTTTATATCATCGTGATAGTAGTAGATATGTGTAATTGTAATTGTAATCCGACTTGCTCGCTATTCCTACAAAATTTTGATAAAAATATTGAAACCAAAGTAGTAATACTATAAATCTACAAATTCAACCCCCTTCATCGGTGGTTAAAATGACTAAAGGTTGAAATTAAAGATGAATTTTATTATTTGTGGTTTTGAAATAATAAATGAAGCATATATACTTTTGCTTGGAAATAAAACACAACACTAAAACTAATAGTGATAAATAGACCAGACCCCTGCCTGCCCTCCTCTGATATGACATTCCTCGATAAAACGCTGCTATTTAGTTTAAATATTTTTCCCAATCTCTTCCAATCAAACAACCAATAATGTGCCTGTGGGGTCCAGTGCGCCTTGACTTTATAAGGCGTTTCACATTCACACCACCGCTCTCTAGTTACAATTGCAAAAAGTTTCCGTCTACTTAGGGTGAAAGCAGATGACCCCTCCTCACTTTCAAACTTTTTGTACTAAACTCCCCTAAATTCATTATTAAAGTGCAAAAGTTGACATGAATTATAAAAATACTGGAATACTCCTATTATTTCATTCAATTTTCATTGCAATGCCCCTTACCTCAACCCCTCTCTTCTTCTCCCTCCAAAGGCGGAACCAAAATTTTTGTTTATTCCGGACCAAGCTAAGCATTTATACCACTAACAAAATACAAATATAAAAAATATTCTACTATTCTAGTTAAAAAAAAATTAACAGAAAATGAGAGAAAATAATTCAAATAACGTCTGAATATATGATCAAAGAGACAAAGTTTTAAAGTATTAAAAATACAAGTAAAAATGCATTAGGAAACAAATACAAGTACAAATGCATAAAAGTATTCAATTCATAATTTTAATAAATCCAAACAATATCATTCAAAGTATTAAAAATATATTCAGATCGAGAGTAACCAAAATTATGAATAACCGCAATTTAACGTCTTCAAATCATTCCCAATTACTAATCCAGATTATAACAAATCAAGAAAATAATTAGGGTCTCCTATGTTTCTTACGTCAGCCTTTCGGTAATAGAGATTTGGGTAGCAGCATCATTTGGGTAGCGCTAATTAAATTCATTTTACATCTCCTATGATCCATTTTAGATGCCTTTAATAAAGAAGGCACCCAAACTAACAATAATGCAACTTGCATAATCCCATGCCATCATTCTGGCATTAATATTTGAAACCGACAGAGCTAATTCATTAGTGTTTGAAACGGACTGTTAATTCATAACCAACAATGAATTGGATGCAAAGAAGTCGCACTTGAACGACCGAGCTAATTTCTCTTCTTTTTTGCGAGAATGTATGTCAGGGGCATTTGATCGAACAACTTGTAACCTCATTGCCATGGGATATTTCTTTCAATAAGCAACAATGCCACAATTATCAATAAGCAATTCACACAACCACAATTTATTTGAGAAGTCACCAATAGAGCATGCAATCACTTAATAGTGAAACTCAGCTGAAATCAAAAGAAAAGACAGATTACTTAAGGTTACGCTATAAAAGAAATAGAGGCCACCGAAAAAAGCTCATCAAAGCTATACAAAAATGTAATACCCAAAATAAAAAAAAAAATTAAAGAAATGACATAATGTAAACATACTGCCAGAGAAGAATTCTTCAAAAATACAATACCTAGTACAACGATTCAAAATTGCTCCAAAGAAACTCTCAACAACCCACAAAAAAGAGAGAAGGGCGCTGTTGGGGCAAGGCGCTTGAGGGGAGGGGAGGGGAGGGGATGGTTAGAGGGATGGGGGGAGGGTGTTTGTGCAGGGAGCCGCCGCCTGTCGACATGAATTTGGGGAAGAGACTAAGAGAGAGAGGACAGGGAGCCGCCGCTGTCGGCATGAATTTGGGGAAGAGATTGAAAGAGAAGAGATTGAGAGAGAGAGAATATGAAAGTGGTAAATTTTTTTTTTTTTACCTGTGACTTCAACCCACCGTAACCCACTAATTGCCACGTTCCTATCTTCCTCTCCCATTTTTCTACCCACTATCAACCTTGCAATTTCAAAGCTTCATATCCAATCAGGTCCCACCTCCTTCTCCTTCATCATGACCACAGTCACTAACCACCGTCATAAGCCATTAACCACACTGCACAACCACCACCCAATCAAAATCAAAAAATAAAAGCAAAATCCTAAGTTTTTAATGATAATGTGGTATTATAGTTATATTGCAAACAAATAGGGTTATGCATGAGCAATGCAATGTTTTTTTTGATATGGCTTAACACACAATCGAATCTTAACACTAGATTAGTAGGTTGTTCAATTTTTAATACGAAAATAGTTCCCGACACCCACTAACTGATCATATTGTCTCATTCCGTACTAAATGGAAACGAAATATTTATACAAAGTATTGTGTCCCTCGTGTTTGTGCTTGTAGTTGGTAGCATCAATGACTCAACTTAATTAGGATTTTTTTGTTGTAATTTTCTCCTTTGTTTTTGTATGCTGAGAATCTTCTTCCCTCACTAATCAAACCTTTACTTGGGCTATGAAAAAGCTTTGCACAAAAGAGAACTCATCTTTTCCACTTTCCAACTACTCTTTGCACCTCTTTTTTTTTTTAATGTTAGCTGCAGAAAGGTTTTTGGAATAATTAGAATATGCACCAAAAAAACATTTTAAGACAATCAGAGGCTGCGGTGCTATATAATAACCAAAGCTCCTTTAATAATCATGGATTCCTTAATTGTTGAACATGTGTGTGTGAGTATTTTCCCAGATGGACCACAGCATCCGCATTGCTTTGATCAATCAAAGGATAGCGATGACGCTAGCTAGGTTACATGCAAATGATTGAGGAGGGCAAAACGGAAAAAAGGCAAAGAAGCAATGGGTTGGGAGAGTAGGTCAACTGTACGTCGAGAAGCGGGGACAAGAGGTCAAAAGGTGGTGGTTGTGTAATCATGGTTTTCCTCATAAACCAAAAGCAAAATGATATACACAGTGGAGAGCAAACGTCCAATTAATGGGATGGGATTAAAGAGTTTTGGAGTTATACTCCTATGGTAAATCTAGAGGGAAAAATAAAAGGACTAGTCTGCTGACTTTCTTGATATGTATACCTTTTTCTACTTCAATAGAATTAGGGCTTTTATTGTGCTAGAACTGTATCAAATCAGAAATGAAATGGCAATTGGATTTGGAGAGGGCTAGGGGTTTTAGCAAGATAAAGAAAGCATTGTTTTGTAGATGTACAGAGTTATAAATAGTTGAAGTAGCGGGTCAAGAAATTTTGGGATGTAATAATTGAGAAAATACTACGTAAGACTATATCGAATTTACTGTATATGCACATCCACCTATTACGCCTCCTATTTTCATCAAGGTACGTGGAGTACTAATTGGTGGGTGTGCCTCACAAGATTTAATTCTATATATCCCCTTAGATTTTTTTGGAAAGACACAGTAATTACCCAAGGAGACCCACCCCACCTTCTTTTTGTTTCAAATTGGTGAAAACCCTTGAGAAAAATTGAAAGAAGTCTGAAAATTGGAAAAGACTTGCATTTAGTGTGCGCCTTTCCCAAAAGTTGATAGATCTTGGAACTTAAAAGAAAGAAATGGATTCTAGACACCTCTGATTAACTGACTGACTGACTGTGCAATTATGACCCATAATTTAAGCATAAAACAAAAACCGATAATTTTTATTTATCTTTTTTATTGGCTGAGGAGACAAAATAAGTGAGATTTTGTTGGGTTTAATTGCAATCTTGCTTTATGAGTATTTCCTTTCACCGCAGTTTAGAAACGTCACGTGGAAGGGAAAAAACAACAGATTGGGGGTACATGAAAGGATTTGTGAGCAATTCTTCATTGGGACATGGTAATATATATATAGATTTATATTTTAATATTAGTGGTCCTGAGAGCACCTGACCAACTCTGTCTATCTGCCCCATCTCTGACTCTGTCCATCTGTGGTTGGTGTCTTCGATATTATCCCCCGCAAGCGTAGAAAATGAAGTTTACGCACTGAACGAGGGTTGCCCTTTTTCACGTAACACAGTTATTGCTTGCCCACACAGACAACTGCAATTATCAAAAGTCTTTCCCTTAATTATGACTTAATTTGATATAAAAAAATTTTAATGGATAAATTTAAATTTAAAAAAAAAAGAAACTTAAATTTAAATTAGGACTAACCCAAATTTAAAAGAGAATAAAGATAATTATTAGAAATCTCATCATTAAAGATTTGTATAAGAATTTGAGTCTCTCTTGATTTGAGTAAAAAAATGAGTCTTATTTAATTTAGTATAAGTTTGAGTCAAATGATAGAACAAATTTTTCAGGTTTTTATACTCAAATTTAAATTTTAGTCTAAATTTGAGTCGAGATTAGTGATGTTATAAGGATTTGCTAATCTTCTGATTACTTGCCCATTGAGTTACAACTTAGAAAGATGAATTGGATTA